AAATCAAGATTTAATCAAAAGGTTAAAAAAACTTATTGATAATAGAATAGATACTGTTCGATTGATTCATGTTAGAGGTCATTAGGGAAATTATGGTAATGAACAAGCTGATAGATTAGCTAAACTTAGATCATTACAAGAAGCGATAGAAGAAAATTTTAAATTAGAAACTTATTCTAAATATATTACTGATTATTTTAACAAAAAATAAATATTTATTAAAAAATTTGATAAAATTATAATTAGATAATAAATAAAAAGAATTTCAAAAATGAGATTGTGTTTAGAAGCAATCACATTAGTGATTGCTTATCATAAGCATCGAGGCGTTCGAAATTCTTTATATACTCCACACTAAAGAGAGAGGGAGTGAGAGAGAGAGACTGATAGTCAGTCTAATTTTTTGTTTGAGACGTTCGTTACAACGATTTAAAGTGAGACAGGGTCGTAGCCGTATCATCGATGTCAAAGATATCAATGATTCGGGAACCTTAAATCATCGTAAGAACAGAGCAAACTTCTTTTACTAATCAATTTTCAAACTGATTAGATATTTTGTATTAAATATTAAAATGTTTTCTCCAGATGAATTAAGATTTGATCAAATTTCAATGTTATGTCAAGATTGGGTTATTATTCAAGATCTTTAGGAGTTTTTCTATGTTTTTTTTTTTTTATATCGAAAACTTTGAAGATCGTATCTTATAAACGTTGCAGGCTTTAGTCAAGATGGCGTATGATGTAAAAAAAAACAAAAACAAATAAAAACCCGCCTCTTGTGGGCCAATGACTGGGATCGATATATCATCGATTTGGGAATTTCATATCAACGTAAAAACAAATCAAACATTATTTGAATTTAATTATCTAATCAGTAATAAACCGATTAGATTTTTTTTTTTTTAGTATTATTAATTTTTTATAAATAAATAATAAATATTTTATAAAATTAAATACGATTCGTATTGGCGATTGGGAGGTGAGAGACCCAATCAAAAATTCATATCAAATAACATTAACAAACAACCCACGATAAGCAATTACGAGGCTAGCAGTACGCCAAAAAAAAAAGCCCTCAACAAGGCAAAAAGTTTAATTATAATCTAATCAGTTTAAAATTTATTATTTTTATTTTATTAATAAAAAATTAT